CTTCCTGTGTTTCCAAAAAAAGGTGACGGCAAAAGTAAATAACCCAGTCCATGTTTTCAGAGACACTAATATTACCGGTATAGGCATTTTGATTGCATTTTAGCAAAAGGATTTTCCTCAAAAACATAATTAATGTTCACAAATAAAGAATAGTTGTATTAACCATACATTAAACAGAGTTTCATGGGGCCCCCAGGAACTTGGGGCCCTAGGAAACTGCCTAGTATTGCCTAAATCCCCCCTGACAGGAGATACAGTGGCTCATATTTTGGACCTCAGAGATACAGCTTAGTTAGTTGAAATTAACTTACAATTTCACTTCAGGAATGTATTATTACTGTCAGAATAACATATCCAGAATAAATAATATATTTGTCAAACTGGCCCTCATTGCAACCAAAAAAATAATAATAATTACACCTCTACAATCTGCATTTTTCAGACTTAAAGCAAAATTATTTTTGGGCTGTTTAACTCACCACTAGATTTCCAATGACCATGACCATCATGAAGACGATTAAGCACATCGCAGGTTCGGCCACTTCCATGCAGTCCCACATGGTCTCGATCCACTCGCCGCACAGAACACGGAAAATGATGAGGAAAGAGTGGAAGAAGTCGTTCATGTGCCAGCGTGGCAGCTCACAGTCTTCAGAGATCTTACAAACACAGTCCTTGTAGCTCTTTCCAAAGAGCTGCATGCCCACTACTGCAAAAATAAAGACGATGATGGCCAGCACCAAGGTCAGGTTTCCCAAAGCTCCCACTGAGTTACCAATAATCTTGATAAGCATGTTGAGCGTGGGCCAAGACTTTGCCAGTTTGAAGACACGAAGCTAAGGCCATCAGAAGACAGAGAAACAGAATGTTACTGGAATGACAAATTATTCCTAACTGCACAGTCGTTGAGTAGTTATGAGCTATGATTATCATTTTACTAGTAAGTAGCATTCAGATAGAGCTCGTTTTGAAGAAGTGGCAAAGCTATTGTTTTTTATTTATTTTTTTGTTGAAATTGGAGTTTTTAAATTGTAATTATATTCATGAACATGATTGTTGAACCACTGTATAAAGCCTGGAACTCAACAATATTTCTGATATTTTGGAACTGAAAAAGCGTCCTGCATGGGAAGCGAAACGTCTTCCAACTTGGAAACAAAGTCCAGTGGATTGTTTTTTTACTTTTTTCGAATGACTATGACCTGGATGACTGAGAATCTTCACCAGCATATTCATGAACATATTAGGGAAAAATGGGTAAACGCTGCATTTGTAATTTGAATGTACAAACAATGTACCGAAAATGAAAATCTAAAACACAATTTAACATTTGTCACCAAATACAATTTTGAAATGGCTGAAAGAGCATAAATTAAATCAACTGCTGTTCTTTAACTTTTGGGAGACAATAGATTTATTTTGGCAGAATGAGGCTGAAAATTGGACGCAACACCAATGGCGTAACGACACAACAATAGTAACCTGACTCTGCCAGATGGATATGCTCCGCATATCCATCTGGAAACCTTCCGTTGAAGTAATTTAGGGAAGGGGCGAAAATACTGGTTAGCTGATTGGCCTATGTTGGTGATAGACGGGCCAAATAAAGCAATCAGATCAACGAAGCATATGACGTACTAACAGAGCGACGACGAATACACAACCACAAGCCAGGCTACTCTTGCCGAAACTAGTCGTGAGAAGAGCAAAAACATCTTTTCCTCTGAGAAAAGCCTCCAGAGCAGTGTTTTGCTCTTCTTTCAGTGAAGAAATACTCTGTAATTCCGATAAAACTTGCTCGATAGCCAGGCTAACGCTAGTTTCATCGGCTGAAGCCGCCATGTTCTTTAGACTGAACTGTCGCGCTTCTCGTTGCGTCACACCTCAACCCGCCTCAAAGCCAACGCTGATTGGACGTTCGTTTGGTGAACGGCTCCAAATTTTCTTTAACGGAGAGTCTCCAGACTGATCTGCGAGTGAATCCTTGAAAGCTCGCGAGATCAGGATGGTCTCACGAGGCTACAACAATTTTCTTTACTGGAATCCGCTTAAGTTCCTCTTTTTGGTATCCATCGTCGCTAACACATTGTACGTGACGGTTATGGTTTTAATCTACCGGTATGCTCTGGATTATGCATAATTCCAAATTGTATTGTAAAAAATAAAATACTCAAATACGTTGTTCTTTTAAGATCTTTATTGCGGTTTAAAACATATTATATGAGTGTATTTTTTACTAACCGTCTAATGAACTATGTACAGTAATTAACATAGTAATTAAACGTACCACTGTCTGCTTTGCTACTGGTGTTGTGTTTAAACTGTTCACCATCCTGTTGAAATCTCCCATATGTTTGGATATAAATAAGGTCTGGTCAGTCAATCTAGTATCAAGTGGGTTTAAAAGGATTTTTTTGCACCACTACATCTGCAAAGAGACGTCCTAGTCCACAATTGCGTAGGGGACCCACCAGGTGTCAGTGACGGGGCACCTAAGAAGTTGGGGGCCCCTAAGCAACTGCTGTCCCTGCTTACCGATAGTTACGCTATTGGGCACCACACATGCCCTGCAGGGATGTGACAGTTAACGGGTTAAGCTACTGTTTGCTTTGTGGATTTATAAGTTCATTCTATTTATCTTTGGCTTTTAATCAATCATTTTCAAGTAAGTACACAATAAATGGTTAAAATTATAAGTTATACTGTTTGGCAAAATTAAGTAACATTTTCCATGTTAATTCTTTCATTATTACCCAAAAAAAAAATCTGTTTTTAACAGCATTTTATGCTTCAGTTTCATTTTATGTTCGTGATGTGTCTATAGAATCGAAAGAATGAACTATGAAGTTAGTGGTTGATCTGATCTGCACTGTCTTACCAAACGGAAAGACCTTAGGACAGACAACCCCTGGACGTTTGCCAGTCCCAACTCCACCAGGCTGAGAGTGACAATTATACTGTCAAAAATATTCCAGCCAACTTGAAAATAATAGTAGGGATCCATGGCGATAAGCTTGAAAAACATTTCAGCTGCAAAAATCCCAGTAAAAACCTAAAAGAAAGTATAGATAAACTTCAAAAGATGGAAAGGTGCTGAATTATTCCTCTTTGTTTAAATGTGATAAATACATACCAGATTTCCAACTGAAAGCATGTCATTAAACTCTTTCGTCATAGGGTAGTGCTCCATCGCCATGAAAAGGGTGTTGAGAACGATGCATATTGTAATAGCGAGGTCAACAAAGGGATCCATCACCACAAAGTTTACCCACTTTTTTAAAACAACCCAGGTGTCACAGCAATCCCACTTTAAGAACATGTCTGCAAATTTGTACCAGCATGGTGGGCAGGGTCTCTGAGCTTCCTCCAGCTCTAGAAAACAAACGAGAAAGAGAATAATTTCAAGTAAGAGGCTATTATGCACACTGTATTTATACTCTATCTGCACTATATGGCAGCCATATTGGCAGCTACTTTACTAGGCTAAAATAGCCCAAGCTTAACACCAGAAGGGCATGACACTAAATGCTGATTGGGATTTACGAGGGATACAGCATGATTAGCCCTCAGCGTGTAAAGCCAAAAACAACTCTGATCTTATCTTGAAATAAAAAACAGTGTTAAAACGGTTTGATAATCTCAGCCAGTAGAGTGGGGTCCTAAAACTGACATAGTTGTCTGGAAGACTGTATTCCGGGTCTTGAAACTACTAATTAGGATCTGCAAATCATTTAAAAAAATAAATGTAAAGAAATAATGTAAAATACAACAAAATAGAAGATATTTTAAAAAAACACACTTGTTAATAGACCTATTAGGAAATATCCAGTTACAGCACCAAATGTTTTAATCTTCTTAAGCAGATGTTCTCAAAGTGAAGGGGAGTGTGCCACCCAGGAGGGGGGCAGTGTAATAGCTGGGGGCACAGTGGAAATTAATTGAATAAATTACCCTTTTTCTTTTTAGATGTATTACTAAAAAAGGTGTATTGAGAGCAATGTAGAATTTTTTTTTTATGAGATATGAGTTCTCTTATTATAATATGTAAAATTGTAATTGAGATGTTACATATTAAAGAAAATTATAAATTCACACTAGTAATTCAAATATCACTAAACTTAAAAAGAAAGGTAATTTAACTAAAAAAAAATATTTATTTTGAATTTTCGTTCCAAAAATAATTCTAAAAAAACAAACTGTCTCAGACAAATTACAATACTTTACATGAACAGTGAACCAACATAACTGTCAGGAGGTACAGAACATTCCTGAACATTACAGAAAACACCAGATTTCAGAGATTGCCTCAAAGTGTTGCTCAACAAAATTTCATTCACCTTGTTTACCTGTTTTATCTATTATATATACACATATATGTATGCATACATACATATATGTGTTCCAAACTGTTGGAACTGTTCTACTAAAGGAACTTTAAATACATCTGCAGATTAAAAAATATAATGTTTATGTATTATGTGGGTCTGCTGTTTGCTTCATTTTAGCACTTTACCTTCTACAGCAGAGAGCACAGTCGCAGCACTGGAAGATCTCTGTTTTAAGCCAGGTTCATCCAGATGAAGGGTGCTGTGCATGGAGCTCAGTGACTTCTCTTTGTCTTCATAAATTTGGGCAGACTATGGAATATTTCAAGAAATTCTTTAAATTATGTAAAATGAACAATTTTTCTGGATTAATTTTAGAGTAACAACCAACCTCTTCCATGGTGGGAGCTCGGATCATCAAGCGAGGAATAACTCTTCCGTTGCAATCATTCACAGTCTCCCCATGTTTGAGATCCTGTTCATCTTTTTCCAGCACAGAAAATGTGTGTTGACTTAAAGACGTCTTACTGGTCAGAGTAGCTCTGCTTCCATAAAACTGCACCTGTTGATTTACATATTAAACTTTTAGGTGAACTGAAAACGTTGTGATTTAATAACTTAATAAAGTATTGCCTGGCTGTAAGTGGCCATATGTAAAAAGAGCTTACACATAAAGACTGAACTCTTACCCAAAACAATTATATTTCTACTGAAAATATGCATTTCTCAACCAGATGGAGTCATACATCTTTAAAATAGATTTTATATAACTTTGAGGTATTATACACAGTCCCAATAGCGTATAGAACGTTTACCCAAGTACCGATGAGGCCTGCATAACTAAAACCAGCATGTAGTGTTAAAAAGTCTGGTCAGCCTAACAGATTCTGTTGAGACAAATATTCTTTTTATTTCTATCCTTACATTCAAATTCTTCTGCAAGGTTGCACTGTTGCTTTTTTCCTTCATATCAAGAGATTTGAAATCCAATGCAAGAAACTGCCTCATAACTAACAGACTACAACATTCTTCTGGACATAAAAAAAAGCAACAACTTCAAAACAAATGGTTAATAAAGAACCCAGCAGCAGACATACATATTTGTTTCGGTAAAGGAACCACGCTGTCTGACTTTAAAAAGTGGTCTCTCTGTTCCTTTTCTATCACGTCCATATTTGCATTAAAAGCTGAAAAATAATGCTTCAGGGACTTTCCTCATTTTCATTTCTTCCTTATTTTGTGTATTTAAACTCGGAGGAAACATGAACAGTCATCTCATTTGAAACACTAACCTATAAAAAACATGCATTTGCACACTAGCAAGCCATTCCATATTATAAATTACAAGAGTACATGGTTCTGTCTCATGTTTTCCCCTTTAAATGCCCTCTACAAAGGATGTACTAAATGGTATTATGTATTTCCATGAGCCAGCAGATCAATTTTATTCTTACTTGATGGTTAATATTCACAAGCAGTGAGAAATTAATAAAAAAAAAACAATGCAATTTCACCCAGGCAGAAATAGATGTGTTGCTGAGTGAGGTGAAGTTACAGGAGTGGTGTGTCAGATAAAAAGAAGAGTTTTAATGCAGCAATACGTTAAAAATCTGATGTACGAAATAGTTATATCAATAGGCATTATTATGATTAGCTCTGGCTGCAATACCCCAGACCTATGGATAATTTTACAGAATTATGTTGTTTCTAAAGAGGTTGCAGACATAGTTAAATGTTAATTATATTTAACATTTATCTGCAGGCTAGTTCCCTCTAACAAACCCAGTTGCTTTCTGGCAAATGGGTCCAAAAGTAGGTAACACATGTAATTTTGAAAAATTTAAAGCATTTAAGCAGGTTTTAGTCATTTTGAGTTTCTCTGTTATAATTTATATTAAGTCATAATTCTGCCAAAAGTACAATAAATACTCCTTTTAGTATTCAAATCAGGATCCAACATGTTAATAGCAAGGTGTTTCTGGAAAAAAGTGGCCAGGCGAGAGAACAAAAGGATACAGTTTTCTGAAAATATACTATTGCTCTTCATGGATTTATTTTTATCTTCTGGAAAAAATCTATAGTTAATGCTTTAGATGAATATGTCTTGCTGCAGTTACCTGTTCTTGATTTTTGAGTTGTTCTAAAAGCTGCTGGAACTCTTTCTCTTTTTCGATGGCCTCCAGTTGAGTTGCTTGATTCTGCTCATAATAAGCCATGGCAACCACAGCCAGGATGAGGTTGATGAGGTAGAAGGAGCCCAAAAAGATAACCACCACGAAGAACAGCATGTATGTCCTACCAGCTGCTCGTAGAGTCTGTTTTTATGAGAAAAGAAGCTACAAGAACTTAACAAAATGTTCTCACTTATAAATATAATCAACTATAATCATAAGCCACAAAGAAAAACAATACGAATTAAGTTCCAACCAGTTGAAAAAGGTTCTCCCAGAAGTCCTGCGTCATGAGTCGGAACAGAGCGAGGAAGGCCCATCCGAAGGAGTCATAACTGGTGTAACCATAGTTAGGATTCCCTCCAGCCTTCATACACGTGTATCCTTCAGGGCACTTTCTATCAACAGGGAAAAAAGTTAGCCAATGACAATCAATATTTTCTTGCACATTTCTGATTTGATTTAATCAAAATAGAATTTCATTTTGCAAAGTTAGACATATTTGCCAAACATTTGCGGGAAAACAAAAGCATACCCAGCATCAGAGCTGTTGCCACAAATCAGAGCATCACGGCTGCCTTCAATAAAATACTGATTGTCTGTAGGTAAAGAGAATAATAAAGTTAACTCTATTGTGAAGCAGTATTTCCATTGGAATAATGATTAAAACAAAAGACAAGCATACCTGGGTTTTCAATATACTCCTTAAAATCAAAAGTACTGTTAGAGTATAACGACGCATTGACATCCACAGTAAAGTTGAAGTACATTGTGTCGTTAAAAGCAGAGGTAGAGTTGAAAACTCCTAACAATGTCTCGTTTAACAGAATGGGCCATCGCACGCATTTTTGACGCAGGTTTCCCATGAAAAGCTGAAGGCCGACGAGAGCAAAAACTGCAAGGGCAAAGACGGTCAGTACCATGACGTCCCCCATTTTTTTCACAGACTGGATTAAAGCGCCAACAATCGTTTTTAGACCTAAAAAAAAAAAAAACACAATCACATAATGTTGCTGGATAAGAAACATCTAAATAGTTCTCAGAAATAATGACAATTTAAGAATTAAAGAAGTTAGTTTACCAGGTATTACGGTAATTGTTTTTAGGGCTCGAAGTACTCGAAATGTCCTGAGGGCTGACACATTGCCAAGGTCAACAAACTCAGTGACGTACCTAGAAGAGATTTAAGAAAATAGTAATAACACAACAGAATAAAATTACAAAAGACATAATTTAAAATAATGTTTTAATAGTTTTACTTTTTGCAATATATAACAGAAATCATTGCAAAGTTAATTTTAGTAAGATACAAATTATGTAGGATGGATCTTCTACCAGAAGCAGCAATTGTTTGAAAGTTTTGACTGATGATTAGTCAAATTTGATTCAAAGAGCAATAACTTCTTCTAGTCTTCTACACTGATTTTCTTCCTTTTGTTGTGAACTTCAGTTGCATTTACAAATGCACAGGAATCATGACTAACCATATTGGTTACTTTCCCTGCATCAATTTCAAAATCCCTCTTATGCTGTCACAAAATCACTCCCTGGTTTGCTTTCCATCCTTCATCCCCAAATCCTATTGTTTCATTCCATCCTATCTCATTAAATTGTGTCATGTTATGTTCGATTACAATTGAAGGATTAATCATCACATCAAACCACAATTTCTGTTCATTTAAATTCCCCAGCATGTTATCACTATATACACTACAAAGCATACGTACCCAACCATATAGTTTGGTAGTTTGACACAGATTAGATTTAACATAGAAGATACCAAACACCAGAATTCTTTGTTAGATTTCAACAAGAAATAAGAAAATCATCTAATTTTGCTTGTCATATTTGTACCACTAGCTTTTTATTGCTGTTTTATCACTAGGCACTAGAAAATACTGCTGATTCAAAACAGCAGGGCAGATTTTCAAAGAACTGCCTATAATCAATATCAGTGTTCAACATACAATAAAAGAGACTATCCAAGACCAGACAATCAGGGTGCAGAAACTATTGAAGGTTTTTTTCTTAACCCCTAAATTAGTTATTAAGTTCTCTAGGGTTAATTTATGCAGGCTGGCTTCTGACTGTTTCCTGTTTTTTTTTGTTTTTTTCCACAAATGGAGAAACCATGGAACATGTGGATAACTCTTTTTGGACTTATGGATGTAAATTACTTAATGTTTCTAGCCTGATGGCTTTTTTTGGGAGTGATTTTGTTTCTTAGAAGATGTTGCCTCCTTGATGTCAACCAATCCTTGTGTGTGTTCAGTTATGACTGTAAATAATAACCTACATGCAGGCATCCTGCCGCAACCAGGATCCGTACCTGGTTCCCCTGTTTTGTATCATATGAACTGCTTTCAGTCAGATTCTATTAAAGTAATTTCTAATTCTACAGGTACATCTTAACATGTGTTCAAAAATGTGCATTCATGATTTAGTGAAGGGGGCTTTTATTTCTTTGCATATGGGCAAAGTTGGCCTCGATAGTTATTTTCCTCGTTTTTACAGAGATAATTGTTTTTCTAAATATGCATTTTTTTATGTTAGTTGGTTTAATCTTTGATGTTAGCATTTTATAAATGTTCTAAGATAAAAGTAAGACATATTTTTAGTGGATAGATAGTTTTCACATTCTCTGTGTCTAAGCAGATGTCCCTGTAGACGATGCCTGTAAAATCTACTATTATTAAACTTATGTGTACCAGAATTGGTTATTTTTCAGTTGGTATAGCATTAAGGCTGAAATTTCACTTTTCAACTTTTTTTTTTTTTTTTAACTAAACACAGGTTGCAAACGTCAAGTATATGAAATGAAAGGAAAAGGCTGCCAATATTCAGAATAATAAAGGAAAAACCTTTTTAAACTGTTGTTTAAGTCTACTTATGGTACTTACGCCATGCTGATCACCATGAAATCCAGCCAGTTCCATGGATCTCGAAGGAATGTAAAAGAACCAATACAGAAACCTCTCGACAACACTTTGACTGTTGCCTCAAAAGTATAGATTCCCGTAAAGACATACCTGAAACAGACGATTTATCAGATATATCAGAACAAACAGCAGCATAAGTAATCAAATACGTCAATTGAATTGAATAAATCCACTTACTCAACAGTTTTACTCCATGCTGGTGGGTTACTCATCGTCATGAATACACAGTTTGACAGAATGGTAATCATGATGAACATGCTAAATAATTTAAGTAAGGATTAAGGAAATTACATCAAAGACCTTCAGCGTTTGTCAAAATGAGTGAAAAACGTCAAAATGTTAGATTATTACAGAAAAGGATATGAATGTATGAGAATTTTGATTGCTCCCCTCCTGATCACACTAAAGGGGCTGAGAATGTAACAAGCCGGCTCAGCGTTGAACCTGTAGATGGTATTCCCTTTGCTGATCACGACAAATGTCTGGAGAAAAACAAACAGATTCTCTCTTAAAACAAGTCCATGTCTACCATTCTTGATATCATTATGGACATCGTTTTTTTGGTTGGACTTAAATGGACTGAAACACACATTCTGGGCTTTGTAGAAGGGGTCCAGGTCCTCCAGAGGCGTGTTTAAGAGTTCTGGAGGAGGATCTCCATAGATTTGGGGCAGACTTTTTCCAGCTTCCAGATCACGGTGTGGACCCACTGGTTCTCCCTTGTCATGGCCTTCTGTGGATTCTTTGTTTTCCTCCGCGAGCCTCTTGATTTCCGCCAGTGACTTCTGGGTGAATGGACGGAAAACCTTAATGCCTGGAGGAGGGAGCAGGCTCGCCATCTTTGCATCGCGAAGGGAGATCACCACGCCGGGTATTCCCTAGATAGAGCTGAAGGAAGGATATGAAGTAAGCATGAAGAATTAAATATATTCTTGTCCAACATTTAGAGTTGCAACTATCTGTGGCAAACATATATCTTTAGTTATTAAACCCAAAATAAAAACACATGCTTTCATAACTCAAATTTTTGAGATTGAAACACTAAATCAACTAGATATTGTTTTCTTTATATGTACCAGCAGTTTAAAGTGAGCCAGTGTCTTCATAATTATTAGTAACAAATTGGCATACTGTATGTAAATACAATGCAACCAAAACCAGGTATTTCTAAATTGTGCTGCAGAATGGGAAAGAGAATATGCCAAATAAAGTTTATGTTCATTTCCCTAAGAAAAACAATCTGTGCTATAAACACGCCCATACCTACAAAAGTTTTTCTTTCTTACAGATTTCCTGTAAGGTGAAGAATTCCCTGCTCAAATCATAGATTGTCCATAATGAACACAATTTTAATTCACTAGGAAGTCAACTGGACAACATAAACCCCTAGGCCACGGGTCAATGATTGATTTCGGCCACATGTCTGAGACTCCAGGGTGTCCCCTGATCACTACAAGGTCAGCTGGATATGCAGGAAGAGGAGGAAGCCTGACAGACTCAGCAAGACCAGGCTCTATTGTTGATGGAGCTGTGGCCGTAAGATCTGCTGTGCCTGTTGCAGCGGCAACCCCCGAATTTGGTGGTGGGCACTGGCATTAAGGGATGTTGTCAGGCTAAAGAATAAGTTATATCAAGCCTCATTAGCTAGTGTGACTCCTGAGGCAGCAAGCAAGTATTGTGAGCCAGGATTGTTTGCCAAGCAGGCTGCTGCATGGGTGGTCATAGGGCCTGAAATTGATGGCTTGTCCTTTTCAAGTGTGAAGAGAATTCCTGCCTCAAGTGGAAGAAGTCAAGTACTTTAGGTCCTGTTCAGGGGTGAGAAAAGAAAGGAGTTGGTGATGGACAGAAGGATCTGTGCAGCTGCTACTATAATGGGGATGTTGCACTGGTCTGTTGTGGTGAAGAGAGCTGGTGGTATGCAGAGCCAAGTGGCATGCGTTCCTACCCTCAACTATGGTCTTGAAATCTGAATCATGACATTATGAACAAGATCCTGCATACAAGTGGCTGAAATGAGCTTGCCTTGGAGATAAGGTGAAGCGCTTGGTCATCTGGATGAGGCTTAGAGAAGACCTGCTTCTCAATCAAATCCAGAGAGGTCAGCTGACTTAAAGGACAGCTTTCCATTTTTCCAAGACAACCATGCCATAAAATATAAAAATTACCAAAACCTAATAAAAGGAATAACTTTCCATCAAGAGTTTTTGATAATGACAATGAGTTTTTTATCTCACCATGGAGGAAATTCAGCCTATTCTGCTTTCTGCATCCTGCTACACTGAGGGTTTTCAAGCATACATTTTTTTCATTAACCCCCTTAAAGCTAATGAATCCGATTTAAAGGAGCAATAAGCATTAAGCAAAAAGCAAAAAAAAAAAGGCTATCTTTTTAGAAGAAATATCTTCTCTCTGTGTTTTTCTCCAGTCTCTTGTTTGCAAGCCTGGTCGGCTGCATGTGCGTCCATGTTAATAGCTGCCACTCAGCGCTTAGCTCCTCTCTGCCCATGAAATACAACTGCCAGAGCAGTGTAGCGTGGGAGAAAAATGGCAGAGAGTGCATTCAGTTGATCAAAACGTTCACCTGAAGACAGTCATTTTCAAAAATTAAGTTCTCTTGCTAACAGCTTTATAAAGTTATAAGTTACTTACCCCTTCTTTAGAAATTTTCCTCTGAAAGGTGATGTGGTTTTGCTGTGTGTTTATCTTTTCCCAATTATATGCATACTGGCATTACAAACTTTTTCTTTTATATATATATATATATATATATATATATATATATATATATATATATATATATA